AGTCTAAGACCACACCCTCCTTCAGGTGGACTTCCGAGCATCCTGTGGTTCTGAATGGCAGATTTTCCTAAGGCAATTTGACAGTACAGGTTTAGGACAAGCTGTGCTTGAGGACAGATGGTCTACAGAGTTTCTTCTATTATGTCTTCCTGTCCTCTATCTGTTTTTTCTTCTATTTAGAGATCTTCTTGTCTCTTGAGATCCTCATCTTCTTTCTCCTATTAGTTTTGCCAGTTCTTTTCTTTCCTATTCCCTTAAGCTTTGTTCTGTCTAGTAACTCAGAGAGGAATCAACCAGCCATGCAAATAGGTCTCCTGTTATATTCAGTCACTTGCTCAGATTAGTAGAAGGGAGAAGGCAGCAGAGACAACTGAAATAAGAACAGCTAGTGAATATTCATAGTCATCATAGGCTCACAGCATTGTCCCTCTCCCCTTATGGGAGTCCAGAAGACTGATTTCCTATGCAGTGAAATCCTTTCCTGTTTGTTTGTGTTCCATGAACCCTTGTTTCAGTTCCACAGACCCTGTCAAAGCATTCAGGTGGTGCCAAATTTTGTGTTTCTATCCTCAGTGTATGGGAACCTCTGTTTTTCTCTTCAAGTTGAAATGGGGCTTAGAAGTCATCTAGCCTGTGGTCCCTGCTAGGTGTATGCAGAAGTGAGATCTGCAGGGAAAGGCACGGCCACCGGCACCTGCTCTGCTGGGTATCTTTCCAAAAGAATTAAAAGAATCACACCATAGTGATATATGCACACCCATGTTTTCAGCGGCACGGTTTGTAATAGCTAAAACTTGGAAACAGCCCATTTGCCCATCAGTTGGAAACTGGATAAAGAAGATATGGATTTTCTATAAAATGGAATGCTACTCAGCCATAAAGAATGAGAAATTAGATTCATTCATAGGAAAATGGATACATATTGAGGATATACTCTTAAGTGAAATAAATAAGTCACACATGTGTAAATACCAAATAGTTTCTCTGGTGTGAACAAACTATAATAGTACGTAAGATCCTAATGATATAATGGACAATGTGAGATAGGAAGAAAAGGGCTAAAGGTGTAGGGAAAGTGGGAAGGGTAGGGGAAAGGGAATAAGGGAAAAGAAAAAAATATGAGAAAATGAAAAAATGGAAATAAAGTGTTTGTAAATGGGGAGGGGAGGAGGGGGTGAAGGAAGGGCAGGGACAAGGGGAAAAATTAGAACCAAGACCTATTATGTAAAGGTACAGAATCCCAATGATGAATGTAACTGTATTGTATACCTAGATTGTATCAATAAACTCAATAAAAAGAAAAAAAAAGTGAGACCCAGTAGTGGAGAGATGAGATGAGAGGTGGTGTGAAGAATCCCAAATGAATGTAACTGTATTGTATACCTAGATTGTATCAATAAACTCAATAAAAAGAAAAAAAAAGTGAGACCCAGTAGTGGAGAGATGAGATGAGAGGTGGTGTGGAGTCCGGCCTCCCTGCATGACCAGAGCTCTTCTCAGAGGCCTCCGGGGCTTGGAGATTCTTGTTCTGAGCAGTGTCTAGCCCTGCAGTGTGTGCCACATGCTGGTGCTCTGCAAAGTGCTTCCCATGCCTCCCCTCAGTCCAGTTTTAGAGAAGCCCCCAAAGCAGTTGCAGTTGTTACTGTTAGTTTTGCCTCTTTTTACAGATGAAAAATCAAGGTTTGGAAGAGCCAGGGTGTTTGCCCAAAGTCAGACATAGTGCATAGCAGAGATGACACCTGCTCTGGTTCTTTGGGAATGTGAAAGCTGTGCCCTCTTTTGCTTTGTAGAACATATACTAACCCTTAAGATTTGGTGCCAGGCTACTGGTACCTTACATTAGAAAAAGAATGAAAGGTAGATACTCAGTCCCTTTTACATATAGCTTTTAAAAAAAATAATTGTTGCAAAATATACACAATATGAAATTTTCCATTATAACTGTTCTTAAGTTAATTCCTTTATGGACATTCACATTGTTGTACAATCACATACACCATCTACTCAAGATCTCTCTTCATCATACAAAATTGAAACTCTGTACCCTTTAAATAGTAACTCCCTTATTCCCCCACTACCACCAACCCTTGAGAAGCACCCTTATACATTCTGTCTTTAAGATTTTACTACTTTAAATATCTTACCTGAGTGATATTATGCAGTGTTTGTTCTTTTGTGGCTGACTTAGTTCGTGTAGCATAATGTCCTCAGGATTCATTAATGTGGTAGCAACTGTGAGAACCTTCTTCCATCTTTTATGCTGAGAAATATTCTATTGTGTATGTTTAGCATCTGTTTATCCACTCATCTGCAAGGACATTGGGTTGCTTCCACCTTGTACTAGTTTGCAAAGGCTATCATAACAAAATACCGCACACTGGTTGTTCAAAGAGAAGTGTATTTCTCACAGATCTGAAGGCTGGAGTCCAAGATCACAGCACCAGCGGTGTTAGTTTCTCCTGGGGCCTTTTTCTTAGGAGAGAGGTGCTGGCCATGTTAGTCTCTGTGGGTCTTGCAAGACATTTGTCTTCTGGTAGGATCCTCCCATGTCCTCTGTCTACGTTAGTATCCCTAAGGTCTCTTCCTCTTCCTGAAGGACATCCATCATATTGTATTAGGTCCATTGTGGTCTCTTTTAACTGTTATCCACCTTATTAGAGTTCCTGTCTCCAAATACAATCACATCGGGGGTTATAGCTCCAACACATGAATCGTCCATAACAGAATTCAGTCCATGATATACCTCCTGGTTATTGAAATGCTATTCATGTAGAGGTACAAGTAATTGTCTAAGTCCCCACTGTTAATTCTTTTGGGTACATACCTGACAGTGGAACTGCTGGATTACATGGTGATTCTACGTTTACTCGTTTCAGGCCCTGTCATGTGACCCTTCCATAGTGGTTGCAGTATTTCACATGTCCATGGCATGTTTCTAAATCCTCAGTGGTTTTCTTGTTTTTCAGAGCTCATTTTACATTCCAAGTCCCTGCAGGTAAAAGCTTGCTTAAAATTGTTCTTTTTACCTGCTGGGTGTTTGATTACTAACTAGTAGATCCTTCTAGAAACTCGGTGCCCTTGTTCCTTCTCCTTGTTCACCTCCTGTCAGTGATCTTTAGTGATTGCTCCTGCAGTCAGCTGCTGAAAAAACATCCCAGAAAGGAGGAGGGTGCAATAAAAATGTCCCAGTCTGAGGCAGGCAGCTTATGTGGGCTGTGGCTCTCAGGCTGCAGCCTGTGAGACCTGACAGAGTTTGTGTCAGATGCTGCCCATATCCAGGCACAGCAGAGGGGGAATCCTGAGCTGCAGATACGAGCTGCAGATGCCTGCTGCTTTCAGAATGCTGAGCACAACAGTTTTAAGACATTGCTCCATGAGCGGCTTTGGAAATTCTAAGTTCATGCACTACATCCACAGAATGAATGCATAGGAGGGAGTGTGCTCGCTCACATGTGCTGGGGAGTGTCAGTGTCATGTGGGAGGAAGCAGGCAAGGAATTGGGCTGTGAGGAATTGTTTTGCTGGATGTTTGAGTGAGATGAGGTGTGCGGCTCTGTACAGGGTAGAGATGTGTGTGTGTGTGTGTGTGTGTGTGTGTGTGTGTGTGTGTGAGGGAACAGGGTGCCAAGTGGGGCTTGGTGTGAAGGTGTGGAACGTGAAGCGTAGGTGGGAATGCAGGTCTGTGGGGGGACAGGACAAAGAGCGTGGGGCTGATAAGTGTGTGGTAGTTAGCATGTAGGGATGTGTAGGGCTGTTTGTGTGTGGAACAAGGTGTTAGAATGTGTGGAAGTTGACTAAGAGAATATTTATGGGGTAGGGCATGGGGGTAGGGAAGAGGGTGTATATGAGTTTGGGCAAGAGGGTGTTTGGGGTTATGATGTGTGTAGGAAGTAGCACTTAAGGATGTAAGAATTTGGATATGAGTGTGCGTGTGTGTGTGTGCGTGCACATGTGCTGTAGGACGTAATGTTGGAGGCAATGAGGTTGTCTGTGGAGTTCAGGGCAGAGCTATGGAGTAGGATGCCTGGTGTGAGGAAAGGGGGCATGTGGAGGGCAGAGTGTGTGCGTGTGCAGTAGATGGCATAGTAGGAGAAGGACCAGTTGCTCTGCGCCCCGTGGGCACCCTTGCCCGCAGCTGGTGCTGGGTGGATGGAAGAGCTTCTGAGACCTGCAGGAACTTTTCCATTGTGAGGCAGCAGCACCCAGCCTCAGCCTCAGGCATGACTCATTTTCACCTGGTTGGGGAAGTCAATTTGCAGGGCATCTGCATCATGGCAGATATGTGCGTCAGTCTGTATGACTTGTTCTTACTAAGAACATGGGAGAAATTTAAAATGAGTAATGAAGGAAGTGGGCAGGAGGTTGTGTTGGGGGCTCTGAAAGATAAATTGCTTCTCCCTTGGTGGCTAAGAGGGCAGGGTTGGTTCCCCTAATCGCGATACAAGGCAGCTGCAGCCATCCCGCGTGAGGAAAGTAACTTCAGAAGACAGGCATACGGAATGGCTAAGGGAGCCCACAAGCCCCTCCCAGATGCCAGGCGGCCTCTGCAGCAGTAACTCTTTGTGCACTGCGGCTTGCTGCAGGCTTTGCATTGGAGGGACAGTGGCTTTTATGAATGGTAGCCTGGGAGGGGCCTAAAGTCATCAGCTCCTTATGTCAGCGCAATGAATGAAGCACTTGCAAAGCGTAAATCCTCAGCACTTGGGAAGCAGATACCTTTCAAGATTGGTTCTCCAGATGCAGCGTCTCTCGCTGATGAAATCACCAGTCCCATGTGTCACAGATAATCCACACACGTTGGCATTTAAATGAGGCAGAAACTGAGTCTGCCTGTGGAATGATGTGCATCTGATTCGGAAACAACCAGCTCCTCTCTAGAAGCAGCCGCAGCCACGACCCTCTCCTTTCCAGCCCTAGGGAAAGGTGCCCGTGGGAGCTGCGGAGCAGTGTTGTGTGCACAGCATCTCCTTAACTGGCCTCATGTTTTGCTTTTGCTGGCAGAATTCTTTGCTGAAGCTTCAAGCCCTTGAATCTGATTTGTGCTCTGCGTTTTTGACAAACCAGGAAGCTGCTGCACAGGTACACGGAGTCAAGGACCCAGCCCCAACGTCAGGCCAGAGTGTGCCGGCTGATGGAGCTGATCCTGCAGGTAAGAGGCAGGGCCCTGGGATGGGTGTCCCATAGCGTACTTTCAAGATAGCTGAGCTTCTTGCTGTTTCATCTTCCAACTGAACCCTTGAGGTAAATGGTGCGACATGAAAGCCCAAGTGTTGCCAGAGGGAGCTGAGTGGGAGTAGCAGGAATTAGGATTGTCTGGGACCAACAGTAAGACTTCTTTATAAATGAGTGTTAGGTGAAAGCACCTGCCACAGCCTCTTGTCTTCAATTTTCCCATTCGTTCTCCTGCGACAAAGGAGTGGTATGTTGTTCTATATCCCTGGATCCACATACTCATACTTGGTGCTGTCTTGAAACTCATGCTGTTGCTGAGGTTTTTGAGGGATGAGGAAGTTTCAGCACTGCTACTCCCTGTCTCCTGTTTCTGCCTATAAGATGGTCAACCAATACTGGGAAAGGAGAGGTGAGTGCTCCACCGTTGCCTTATTCTGATCCTATATCTTTCTTCTATCTGTTTATTCTTACACTAATTTCTATGTGAGTCTGTGTTTTGCTAGTTTCTCTAGTTGTAATCCTGGGGATGGTGGATTGGCTAAGAGAAGGCAAATTAATACTCCCAGGAAGATTTAGAAGGGAAAGAAATGCTCATTTACAGGAATAGAAATGAGAGTACAACTTATGTTTTTTAATACCAGTCAATCAGAGGCTTGCAGACTGCTTTCTGTAGGCTTAGGCAAGCTTGCCTCACAAGTGGTCGTTATCTGTTAAGAGCTAAAGGAAGAGATTTGTAAAGGTGATCTGTTGCAATAGTAATAGTACACTTAAGACATTACTGTTTAAAACAGTCCTAGGTGGTCTAAGCTGACAAACAGTCATCTCCAGTGTTGGAATCTATATTTTTAATAATAGTGGCTAATAGTAGCTGCTAATAGCAGATACTGTTCTCTCATGATCTAAAGCTTTCAATGATCCAGGCTCTTTAGGCACTTTATATGTATTATATTAAACCCTTAAAGTGACCACTGAAATACTCCTAGTCCTAGTGAAGACAATGAGGCCTAGTATGTCACTAATGGTAAGTGGTAAATTACTTCTGTGGGATGCTCAGTGTTGGCCAGTTGGCAGTCCCTGTTGCCCAGTGAGCTTGCCTGCACTGTTGGCCACTGTGTTTGGAGGAGATACAAGTAAAATTGGGCAGGAACCCAGTTAAGGATTTGAGGGATTAGGTATATTAGACATTCTTCCCCAACCCCGTATCTCACCACTTCCGAACTAATAGAATAGAAAATACATAAAGAAGTCTCAAGCCAAATAGAAATTAACTCTTGAATTATCTGATGTTCTGTTTAGCTGTGTAAGTACCTAGCAAAGAGTGTTCAGTATTTGTTGCATGTTGTATATAGACTTTTCCCTCTTTTTAAAAAGATACTAAAATCATGACCTTTACTTCCAAATATCAAAAATAGGCATTTTTCTCATTCTGGATGAATAGAATTTTGAACAAGCTTATTAACACTTCTTGTGAAGTAGAACTAAACATTGGGTTTATGTAAGGGTTGCTCGTGCAAAGAAGAAGCTAGAAATATGTTCCTTGTTAAGTGTCAAATGACAGAAATTGGCAGAAGGCTTCTTACAGAGGAGGTTTGTGGATTGGATGCTGAATTTACCAAAATGTGTATAAACATAAGCTATCCCAGAGCTTTTCTAGAATCTAGAATACTCTAGAAACATGTAGAATACTAGGTGTGTTCGGTGACAGTCTCTTTGTTTGGCAGGGATATATAGTGTCAGAGTGACAGGCATTTGTAAAATGCTTTCATGATTTCAATTATGGGATGATTGATCTCACAGGCTTCGAAGAGGTACTCTCATAGTCATGCCATACTTTTTCTAATCCATGTGTCACTCAGAAGGAAGACATTTATGCTCAAATCAGCAGTTCTTAACTCAGGGCTTCTAAATGGATTTCTCAAGTGATCTTTGAACACTTTGGCACTGTAGGATTTTTTGTGGGTGGGTGAGTCCCTGGTGAGATGATGATTGCATAAGATTAGCACAGATGGCCTGAAGCCCGTAAAAGATTATAATAATTTGAAAACAGTTTTCTCTTTCTTAAAGTGGAGTACTCAGCCCTGAATCTTACATGTATATAAATAATCAGTTGTTAATTGTTGAGACCACACCAAAAAGTCCAGAAAGTGATTTTTACAGTAGTATCTGGACATAATATACTCCAACTGTCAATAGTAAGCAATCATAAATACGAATTGATGCCACTTAAGTAAGTTTGAAACTCACTTTAGACTTAATTAAAGCATGGGTTATGTATAGTTAATTAGTTTTTGTAATGAACATCTGGAATAATGGCTTATGCAAAGTTTAGTAGGCTGTATATTTTAAGATCAAAATACTGGACCTTGGGTTTTTGAGTTGCAAAGATCTTTCTCACAACTAGTAAGACATATTAAATGCTCCCTCTTCTAGAAATCCAATTATTAACTGCATCTGTAGCAAGCACACATTTTATGGCACCTCTATATGGACACTGTATTCTAGTAGTGTTCTAGAACTTTCTTCATGTCATAATCACCGGAAAGCTTTTCCAACATGGAGATTCTCTGGTTTATCTTTAGACAGTCTGAGGTGGAAGTCCCAGCATCTACAATTTCATAAACAATACCAAGTTCCAGGGTATACTTGTCAAGTGGACAGTGGCTTAAATTAGTCAAGTTCTTTGTGTTTGTGCTTTATCTCAGTTTCATCATTAAGAAGCTCACAGACTGCATGGAACTTGAAACTCAGAGTCTGGGGCCAATTGGCTCCATCCACTTACTTCAGGAGGAAAAATGTGCTTATGCATCATATCTACAACCTGAAAGTGTGTGGAATGGAGACACAAAAGGATTTGGTGGCTGTAGTGGCCATTAGGAAAAGTAATGGAGGGGGACCCCACTGAAAAGGTAGTTATGGGGCTTTACCAAGGTTGACACAGTGACCTGATTGGCCCAGAACTGTCACATTTTTAGTACATAGAGGACCACCTAATGCCAAATTCTCAGAGCCAGCTAGTGAGGACAGTTGTTTACCAGATTTCTAGGTTTTTTTTTTTTCCCTGTTTCATTTTTTTAAATTTAATTTAATTTATCGGTACATTCTAGGTAGACAGTACAGTTACATTCATTACTGGGATCTTGTACCTTTACATGCCAGGTCTTGGTTCTCATTTTTCCCCTTGTCCCCACCCTCCCTTCACCCACTCCTCACCTCCCCACCTTCAAGCACTTTAATTCCATTTTTACATTTTTTCATATTTTTTTTCCTTTTCCTATATTTCTAGGTTTTAATCACATAATATGAAATAGAAACTGTTATGAAGTGAATCTTTGTGTCTCCCCAAAATTCCTATGTTGAGATCTAATCCCAGTGTAAGAGTAGAGACAGTATCTTGGGAAGATAATTAGATTATGAAGATGGAACCCTTGTGAAAGAGATTAGTGTGCTTATAAAAAGGGTCTGGAAAGCTACCATGGTCTCTAACATCTGAGGATACAGAAAGTCAACCATCTGCAATCTGGAAATGGGCCCTCACCAGAATCTGACTAAGCTGTACCCTGACTTCAAAATTCTAGTATCTAGAGCTATGTGAAATAAATTTCTCCTTCTTATAATTCACTCACTTTATGATAGTTTGTTATAGCACCTCAGTCTGACTCAGCTAGAAATCTGCTTAATAGCTAAGCGTAGAATTCCTTCCAGATGTATCAACAGCCTCTCATAGCAGAAATAAATATTTCCTCTGTGGCATTAGTAAACATCTATTTTGGTGTCATTGAATAGGAAATGGAATGAGTATTATCTTTGTAATGGCTTGTCATTTTTAGAGTGTATAGGACTGTTTGACATCTCACATGATCAATGATATGTGCAGGTTTTAGCAAAAACTCATCAGAAGTAATTGGAGATTCACTACTAAAATTTATGGTTCTGCAGCAACACTTAATTAAATTTTTTGATATTTGATTTTTCCATTTGAACTTTCCATTTGGGCAAGGCCATACATTCATGGTCAGCTTTCTTATCACTAGGACAAAATACCCAATACCCACAACTTAAAGGAGAGGTTTATTTTTGTTTTCAGTTTCAGTGGGTTCATGAATCCATGGTTGGCTGACTCTAAGCAGAAACCACATGGAAGAATGGTGCAGCGAGGAAGTCTGTTCACAGCATGGTAGAAGGCAGCAGAGAAGGGACAGTGATACTCTGCTTACCCGTGTGGGTATTCAGGGGGATAATCACAGTCCAGCAACCTACCTGCCCCTTCTGACCAGGCCACACCTCTGAATGTGAGCCTTTTGGGGGACATTTTATATCTGAGCCATATCTGACACTAGTATAATGTATCTCTTTGCAGCCTATAGTTACTATCATAAAGAATTCTGCATAATCTGTAAGTTTTCTCCTAATGTTGAATTCAAGATAAGGCAAAGCCAGAGAGAATTTAAACTTCTCTCACATGTTTCAAAACACTTTCCACTTGACGTGGAGTATCCAGTTAGAGTGCTTACTAAATTAATAGATGTCTGTTTCCTACCTTAAAATGTCAAGTTAAAATTAAGATTTAAGATGAGGCCCGAGAATCTCTAGGTTGGAACAGCATCCCTCGTGCTATTATTGTGTGAGGAGGTTCAGAAACATTTTCCAGAACACAGTGTCCCACTACGGCTACTATGAAATGTGTGCCTGCTACAGGGCTCACTTATAATTGAATTCCTAGGACAGGATAGCGTTTTAGGTTTCCTACTAAGTGGTCTGATCATACATGTGATTTGATTATTCATTATTTCTGTAGGATTAGCCCCGGAAAGGGACTTTATTACTTCAAAGTTGCAAATGGACAGAACTCCCACATCTCTTTTAGAAACTTTATTCTGGGGCTGGGGATTTAGCTCAGTGGTTCCATTGCCTGCTTTGCAAGTGCAAGGTCCCGAGTTTGATCGCTGGTACAAAAAACAAAACAAAACAAAACAAAAA